TTCATGAATTAATAATGCTACAATAAATGTCATCATATTGAAAGAGTAGGAAAGAATGCCAAAATTGACGAGGCCTGAACCCTCTAATTAAATGTCACYAGTGCATCGTTTGAACTACCGCTTGCTCATTTTTAGACAAAACAAATACTTAAAGCACGAATCCTTTGTGAAGTTTTCTTGCATAATAGCTGACTATGTTTCATCTTTCCTCCAAGGAAAATAAACTCTTAATTCGTTTTGTCCGGCCGGTTTATATTATTGTAAACAACAGGATTATTATAGTGGTGATGTTTAACATGATTTACATTTTAATATTATTATAGTAGTGATGTTTAGAGTGAAGTCAATGAACCCGTGAAATACATATTTGACTATTACATGTTATTACTCGATAATTCCATTGTTTTCTTTTGTGTCTATTTGACTATTACAGTTTAATTATTAACTTTTATTTCACAGGATCAATGCCTTCACTCTAACATTATCAATATTTTAATGTTATTACAGTAGTGCTGTTTACCATTATTAATAGTTTAATATTATAACTGTAGTGCTGTTTAACATTATTAATAATTTAATATTATTACAGTAGTGCTGTTTAACATTATTATAAAACTTATTAATGCATGAGCTATTACTCCAATAAGGGATGTCTAGAGATTTAATCAAGTGATTGACCTTGTAAATCTGATACAACACTATGATACAACACTAGTGTTGTATAAGATTTACAACACGGTCGTCACCTTGAGACAACCCAACGCTAGCAAAGGTCTCAGTTTTAGTATCTCATCATAGAGCTGCACTAGATTTAGAAGCAATCAAAGACAGATAACGGAACTCTCTTATCAAACAGATGGCTTGCTTTTCCATGTGGGATGGATAATTATTCAAAATGTTCTGTGCTGCAGTAAATTGCGCATGCTTAATAGTGACTAAACTCAGCGGTTAAATTATTTGTCATTTTTCGTCATTTATCTCACTGTAATTCATGTTAATTAGTGTTGGAGTTTTATAAGTCGTTTTTATAAGTCGCCTGCGGCTCGAGATTGTAATTCCCATACAACACGGACGCGAAGTGTTGTAAACTATACTTAATAGTTTAATATTATTATATTATTACAGTAGTGCTGTTTAACATTACCGATAGTTTAATATTATTTCAGTAATGCTGTTTAACTTTTTGATGTCATTACAATAGTCCTGTTCCACTTTGGTAGCGGTCAACCTTTAGRRAAGGAATGAAATGGGTACGTCAACAGCAGAAAAACCGGCTTGTTGTCTTGAATGATAAAATTGTCTAAATTGTTGTTTAATTTTGTACCTTTCGATTCGAGTAATATGCAACCTTGGAACTATACTCTCTCGAAGAATGTTGGAATGGAGCAATACGGGAAACTCCGCCCCAATCTCCCTCGAGTGGGCTAAAATAACGAGCATGTTTGCTTTTCTATGTCAACGGTTTTTAGGATCCTTGAMCTTAATTGTACACAATCATTTACATTTTTTTTTCTTTGACGCAGATAGGGTTTTTATTGAATATTTACTGGACAAATCATTACACGATTTCGAGGCTACAGCTGCGTAAAAAAAGTCTCGACTGTAGAACAAAACGTACTATCGGTGGAATTTTTTCTTGTTCCAGGCCTCTGATCGCACGAGTTAAAGAGTGAAGAGAGTTTGTTCTCTTTCAATGATACCGTTTTGGTATCGTTTAGATAGATTTGAGATCGAGATGTTAATGGCTAGTTCCATATTTCTTTTAGTTTTGCTATTTTGCGTTCGTACCRTTGTGACGCAATGGTACCAACGCAAAATGGCAAAACTAAAAGAAATACGTTTTGGTATCTGCTGCAATTCTTATAACAACAGTACTTCATTTACATGTAGTTAAAAAGTATTTGTATGAACATACTCTTCTCTTCTTCTGCTTTTCAGAAATATTTAGAGAGTGCAAAATGTGTACTCATGGGTTTGGAATGCCTTGATAATCTATTAACACATCCCCGATGGATGATGATGATTTAAGAAGGCAAACTTTCGAACGGAATTGCGCAACTTAAAACTACCTCGTATTCAATATATATA